TCCCCGTCTGGGTTCCTTCTGCCTCGTCGTCGTCGCCGGCCTCCCCCTCTCTCTGGATCCGACTCTCTCTCATCGCAGTGACCTCATTGGGATTCAGGAGGAAGAGGGACACGCGTTCGTCTGTTCGTGGGCCCGGCGCCCATCCTCTCGCCCGGCCCTCGCCTGGCCTCGCCTCGGGACCCTCACCTCGGCGACACGCGCGCTCCCCACCTCCGCATCCGCCCCCCCTCGCCGCCTCCTGGGCTCCTGTCCAGATGGGAGGGGAAGGGATGCCTACGTCAACCGGGCTGGATGCGGGGGAAACTTACTTCTGCGCGGACGCGGGTGGGAAGGGGCGCCGCGGGCGGCCGGAGGCAGAGCGCGCGGGGGGCGGGGGAGGCCGGACTCCCAGCTCGCTAAGGCGCGGAGGGACCCTCCCCACGGGACTCCTCTCCCGGGGAGAGCCAGGCTCCGGGCTTCCTTGTCCGGGGGTGAGGGACATGCCACAGCCCCACCGAGGTGTGGCCCGCAGACGCCCGCTGTCCCCTGGAAGCGCCACTGCAGGCTCCGGGATGCGCGGCCAGACCAGGCAGGACGGGGACCTTGCGCTCTCGCTGGAACTCAGCAGATGCGTATATTTAAGGACTGCATCGGAGGGCACCCTATTAAAGACGAAAATCTGGCCGGCTGCGCAGCTGTGGGACAGCCTGCCCTGGCCAGTCAGCAGGGCAGGGGCCGGCCCCGGCCTGGGTGCCTCTGCGGGAGGGACTCGCCAAGGCTGCAGGTCGCTGGGTCCCGACCCTGTTCTCACGTCGCTGGTTCGACCCCATGAAAAATCACAAGGCATTCCATCAAGCAGACCCGGGAAAGGGGGAATGAGGAGGTGTTTTGGGGTGTGGGGCATCTTTCTCAAAAAGTGGGTTCCCCAGTTGGAAACGAATGGAAGGCTAACAGAAAGAGGGTGGAACGGGGACGCGCCACCCAGACCAGGGTATCTTCACCTCCGAATACACGCAGCCTAGCGCAGGGTGGGCGCCTTTCTGAGTAGAAGCTTCTTTTTGCAAAGCCCCAGTGATGGGAACAGGAAGGCTGAGCGATATGCAATCTACAGCATAAGTGGAAGTTTCGGTTTTCTTAAATTTGACTCAGGGCTTGTTTCAGAGTTTAATTCAATTTTACACTATAATTTAGTTTCCTTCTGCTATATTTAGACTCTACACTTAAAAAAGTTTGTGTACTCCTCCCTTGTAAGTAAAAAAGCAAGGAAGGGAGAACTATAAGTTATTAGGCCTTAAGGAGCCCTCAGTTATTGTGATATTTGGAGAACTAACTGAAACATTTATGTTGACTAATTAGTGGATTCACTTTCTACCTTTTAAAGTCTCATTCCACCAAGAAGTCAATTGTTAGAATCCTTCAAATAGTGTTTGGCTTTAATGAAGCATAGATTATTTTATTTTAATCTTTAGAAGTAATCTAAATGATCCAATTTATATGTAGAAATCAGGAAGCATCTCATTACCTAATTTTGGTTTGTCTTTAGTCATTGCTGTTGGTTTTTTTTTTGTTTGTTTGTTTTTTAATTCCCCATTAGGAGGAGAAGAACAAACCATAGTTATTGTTGAAATAGAACAGACGTATAGAAAGGAATGTAACTTATATAAAGGAGAATGAATTTTGTAGAGAACATAGAGATAGCATTAAGAGCAACCAAAGAATTTATGTGCATATATACACAACCCAAGGACATGGACAACGGCGGGGAGAGGGACAGGGGAGGGGGAAGGAATGGGGTGGAATGAGTCGTTGGGGAGAAAAAGGGACATCTGTAATATTTTAAACAATAATAAAACTTAAAAAAAATAATAAATTTTAAAAAAAAGAGTAGATGAATTTCACAGAGAGAAAGAAATGGGCAAATAATGTATTATGACTGAATCTTTGTCTCTGAATGTGATCGATAGAGTATGTTTACTTAAATACCCAAAGCCTAATCATATGCCTCAACATAACCAATCTTGATTGATCCTTTATTATTGGTGCAAAATCCAAACCTTTTGAAAATCAAATGTACATGAAAAAAGTCAAATTCATCTTCATGTATCCATTACTACCAATAAGCCACACTAAAAAAGAAATAGTTGTAGGAATAAAATAAAAAATTATTCCCCACAGAAGAAATTACTGTTTATGTTTTAAAACATGAGGATCAATGTTAAAACTTTCAAAAGAATATTACATTACCTGTTCTGGGAGACAAAGTATATATTGCACAATCTTTTAAACTGTGTAAAGATCCCCACCAAAGTAAATGCAAGAGCAGCTAAAATTTACTCTTAATCATGGAAATCACAGCAAAAAAATAGGTTCAAACTGGCATCTTACATGTCTCAAAGCTATCTGTTAGAGAATGAATTATAGGATATAATAGTAACTCAAGAGAAAACTAAAGTACCTTGCTATCCAAATACCAGCGGCTCTACAATTAGAGGGTTTAATTTTTCTTACACCAAAAGAGCTGTTCATGAGATCCATTGACACATTGTTTAATACATCTTCAACACGAGCAATAAAACAAAAAATCTCAAGTTTGCCACCTGCTGGCTTATATATAACACAATGGATATAAATGTGTGCATAACCTCAAAGTGATCTTATTAAACATAGCAGCTAATCAGAATAAAATTATTCATAATTGCTCTCTTTAAGGACCTAAGTTCTGCTAACAAGTATTTAAGAGTTCTGAGATCCTTCTGTACCCATTTACCCAAGTAAGATTTATGGACATTTTAATACATGAACAAAGGAAAATCTAGGAGTTGGTAAACAAATACCACCTGTTTTAATATAATGAAGTAAGTTAATGAACTAACTCAACCACTAACAAACATTAGTGATTGAAAAGATCAAAATATGAACCTGATTAATTTTGAGATCTGATAAATTAAATTTGTATGGTGACCCTAGGCACTGGGCAGAATGACCAATGTAGTATTGAAGATTAAGGAAAAGAAAAATCACGAAACTGTTACAAACCTTTAGCAGTTTTTAATGGCTACAAGTCTATTTAACATTTTAATTCTATTGTCAGTATGATTAAAAATGGTTGTACCCAAAAACTTAGCTAGGCTTTGACAAAATGATTCAGTCAAAAAGGGAAAAAAGAAAATAAAACTTTGAGGATTTTCCCCCCTTATTTAAAGATCAAGAAGCATAGTACTTAATACTGTATTTATTATAACCTTTCATTCATGTCAAAAATATATTTTGATTACTAATGACTTTTAAATATGGGGGAAAATCAAATGATAATTTTAAAGTTATTTCTGTTCTTTAATAAAGTGTGTGGGTATTTCTACTCCTGGCCATTCTGGAGTAATTGGGATTGGACTTACTCTCCCACTACATACAATATATTTAAATCAACACTGTTCAAGAGTCCTTGCTCAACACTCAGCCTTCAGTGGAGAACACAGGTGGGACAAACATAACTAGTGGGGCTAACCCACGCCTGGAGTAGAGACAACTCTATATATCTTACCTTCAAATGCTTTAAAACAGACCCTTTAAGTATCAATTTTTCTTTAAGTAACTTATCCAAGTCAAAAACATCTTTAAAAAGATGACAAAAACCATCACTCAACAATGTAAAACTCACAACATACGCCATCCAATTAATAACTGAAATATGAAGAAGCAGGAATACGTGATCCATAACTAGGATGTTAGAGATAATGGAATCAGCTAACACTTTAAAATCTCCATCACAAATACAAGAATTCATTCAAAGATGAAGAGACAAACATTAATATAATAAGGATATAAGTTGAAGATATAACAAAGGACAAAATATAATCTCTATAGATGAAAATTATATATCTAAAATGACAAATAGTATATCTGAGATGAATAGACTAGATAAT